ACTAGCATATTTAGCTACATCTACTAGCATATTTAGCTACATCTACTGGCATATTAAGCCACATCAACTGGCATATTTAGCTACATCTACTAGCATATTTAGCCACATCAACTGGCATATTTAGCCTTACCTACTGGTATATTTAGCCACACCTACTGGCATATTTAGCCACATCTACTGGCATATTTAGTTACATCTACTGGCATATTAAGCTACATCTACTAGCACATTTAGCTACATCTACTAGCACATTTAGCTACTTCATTGACTCGTTTCATCTGACGGTGAAGTGATGAACAACCTGAAAAGCTCTGAGGTGTATTAGTATCTACACAGTAATAAGGTCGGTGGTGTTTTGTTAACAGAGGTGGGACACAATCTTATTGACCTCAAATCAGACACAGAGCCCAGTCAAAGACTTAAAGTCCTCCATCACAGAGCTTGGATTAGTTACAGAGAAAATCATAAAACTAAAGATGAACAAATTCTATAAATCTGTGTCCTCCATACACCTGAAATCATACCTGATGCTCTCGTCACTGTTTTCAATCCTTCTGAGGCTCCGGAGTCTCTTCTGCGGTGGGTTATTGTCGTCCAGACACAAAGTAGGATGCAGGTTTTCCTCTGTCAGCCGTTTGTCAACAAAGTGAAATGAGCTCACAGACAGAGTTTTGGGTGGTCTCTTCAAGTTCAGATTCTTCAGCCACATTCTTCTTAGTTCCTCATCTGTAGGTAGGAGATGGAAACTATACCTCTTTTCACAGGAACACTATTTTATTTTTTTGGTCCATGTTCAAAACTCTGTTGTTGTAGCCACTGATTTAGTTTGGTGTGGTTGTTCTGCAGCTGTGAACACAACAGGTACCTGAACGCAGCACGGCTATTTTAGTAAACTTTATGGTTGTTAAATAAAGTTAAACAAAACAAAAACAGTTTTATCTGCTGAACTGAATGTGAATTACTTTCAAATAAACCGCGGTCCATACTCTGCTACCATAGTTAACCAATGCTTAGTACTACTTCCTGTCTGACAGGAAGTAGTACCGTAATCATTTATACAACAAAGCCCCCAGGAATAAGATGCATAGTGATCCTATGGACAGATTCTTTCATCTCTGCAGAACTGTCCAGCTCCATCAGGGTTATTTTTGGCTTCTTGGATATTTCTGTGATTACCCCCCCCCCCCCCACCCTGTTCAAGTCATGGATCTTCCTATCTCCTAACAGTGGATGATGCTTCATGGGATGTTCAGGGTTCTGGGATGTTTTATTTTTTAACACTTCCCTGATCTGTTTTTCTCCATAACTTTGTCTTTAACCTGTGTGGAGTATTCCTTGGTCTTCATGATGCCTCCTGCTTGGTGGTAGCCCTGGTTCAACAATGATGTGATTTCTAAAGGTACTGTATGGGGCTTCAAAGCAAAAGTGGAAGAATTTTCCTTTTTTAATCAAATAAAAATCACTTTAACTTCCAGGTTTTAAGGCAACAAAACTGAAGATTACCAAGAGGGTGAATACTTGCTCAACCCAGTGGTATGTGCACAGCTGCTGGGAGCTTTGTGCTGGTTCTTAACTCAGCTTTACCGTCCCCCAACAGATAACAGAAAATGGTCTCCCTGCATTCAAACACAATTTCACAGTCTAAAAGAAACGACTTGTAATAAAGTGTCACAAGCCGTCTGAATTGCAATTTATGATATTGATGCTGCTATCAGCAGAGATTGCTGAACATTGTTCTCAAGTGATTAGTCTGAAAGAAGAAGCTCGCTCATTCTCGTAGTCTGTCATCCAAAGTGTCACAAAATATTCACAACACTATTTAGAGCCACCGTGCAGCTGTATCTGAAACAAACCTATCATTTTCTGTTTGGACCGAGAGAAAAAAACACAGAAAGATGTTTGGCTCACTGTCCCCATAAATAATAAAACCACAAATAATAAGTGTCTTTGTGCAAGCACTTGTGATTTTTTTTTTGTTTGTTTGTTTGTTTGGATTTCTCTCTTTTTATTCCTTCCCGGTTGTATTCCAGTGGTGTTCATGGGCAGCGAGAAGTACCCGTCAGAGAACGGCTTTGATGCTTTCCTCAAGAAGCACGGTGGGAGCGACAACGCCTCCACCGACTGCGAGAGGACCATCTTCCAGTTTGACGTCCAGAGAAAAAGCTTCAAAGAAGCTCTTGACAGGTTAGGAAAGCATGAGAGCTTTTCTTTGTCTTTATGTTTGTGTTTTGAAGCTGTCGCCCCTCAGAGGGGGGGTTTCTGGAGAGCCACTGTGTGATTGACAGGTAAATATAAAACAGAAATAAGGAAAATAACTCAAAGAAGCCCCGAAGAGAGATTAAAAACTCTTAAAGCACTGTATCTTTTTAGATTTGATGGTTTTTTTTAACATTTACTGGATTTTTTTCCCAACTAAAATGTAAAATTTGATTTAGTGGCTTTTTCCAGCCCTATCTAATCTAAAGCAGTCATCTCATCCAAACTCATTCAGAGTCTTAACTGGAGTTAATGGGAGAGATCATATTTCTCCAGTTTTAGTTTCTCTCCATTGGCTCCCTGTCAAATCCAGAATAGAATTCAAAATCCTACTTCTAACCTACAAAGCTCTCAACAACCTAGCTCCATCTTATATTACATATCTTATTGTTCCATATTTTCCTAACAGAGCACTTCACTCTCAGACTGCAGGTTTACTTGTGGTTCCTAGAGTTTACAAAAACAGAATGGGAGGAAGATCTTTCAGTTATCAGGCTCCTCTCTTGTGGAACCAACTTCCAGTTTCTGTCCATGAGGCTGACACATTGTCTGGTTTTAAGACTGGGATTAAAACTTTCCTTTTTGATAAATCCTATAGTTAGGGTTGGCTTGTTATGCTGCTATAGGCTTACACTACTATAGGAGAAATTGACCTAGTTTCATCAAATTAATAGTTAAAAAATGAATAGTTTACATTTGAAATTATTTCTATCTTAACATGCGCACCTCCTTTCTCGACCTGTCAGTAGCAAAGTTTACATGGACTTACGTCTTTGGATTAAACGGCCGTTCGGAATAAAAATGCGTCATGTAAACGCCCCATTCAGATTATTCTTTGTTGATCCAGCTGGATCCGAAAGAATTTGTAATCGGAATGAGACGGGTGTTTTATGCCGATTCATAATCTGAACGGTGTGCATGTAAACATGTAATCTGATAGTTTTATTCCGATCGTGGAAAACTGAGCTGACTGCGCATGTGCGACCTGTGTCAACCTCACGTATTTCCGCCTGGCTAATGCTAATATGTCGAGGAAGTAAAACTGGTCGGTGAGCGACACGTCTACTAGAAACTTTGAAAGAGCTCAGAATGATCTGTGTCACCTGCAGCTCAGTCAGGGAGTGCAGGAACGTCTCCACATCATTAACAACTGTCGCGGGTCCATTTTGGGTGCTCAGGTTCGTTTACGTTCATCGCGGAAGTAGAACTTCTTCTCCTGTGGTTTTTTTAAGAGGCGTTTACCACTCTGCACATGTCAGTACTTCTATTCTGAATAAAAGCCTGCTGCATGTTAACGCTCGTCGTGAACGGATTGTGCCCATGTAAACGATACATTCAAATTATTTAAGCATGTCCTGAGCCTGGTTCTGCTAAAGGTTTCTTCCTCATGAGGGAGTTTTTCCTTTCCACTGTCGCCTTCGTGCTCGCTCAGGATGAGAGATTACGACGAAGTGAAAACTCAAAGCAGTCTGCTCCTCAGATAAATACTGTTATTAACTGACTTTTTACGTAGATGAATGTTTCTGTTCAGTGCCCTGGGACGACTTCTGTTGTGACTTGGTGCTTTATAAATAAACTGAACTGAACTGAATTGAATCTGTGTGAACAGAGAAAATGTGACGCCCCCTTCCTCATTTTCACAACAGTGTAGAATTTGTCCCATTAACAAACCCAGAATTCAAGGCTGCGTAAATAATTAACATCTTTTATTGAATAAAAAAATCATAAACGCATCAACAGCTCAAACAGATCTTCTTTGATTTTCATTAATGCGTGGTGAGATGTTTCTTCAGTTGTTTAGACTGAACAGACTCGGTGCTCCAACAGACAAACTCAGACCCAAAGTTTGTTTGTCGCTCTGTATTTGTCCGTGGTTTTGTCTGACTCGTGCTCGAGCGTAGAACCTCACCTTTCTGTGTTCTCCCTCCCAGGTGGGCGCAGTTCTTTATCTGCCCCCTAATGATCCGAGACGCAATCGACAGGGAGGTGGAGGCCGTTGACAGCGGTACGTCACTCATTTATTTGGGGTCATAGTTGATTTCATGCCGCTGTGCATAGTTGTTGTTCTCATGTGTTTGTCTGTTAGCAAAATATTTAATAGACCACTGGATAGATTGAGATGAAATTTACAGAAAGTAATAATTAAATCGACATCAACAAAGGATTCAATTTTTAAGTCAATGCAAATCAAAATGTCTTCCACAGCCCACTGACCTTAAAAATTGCATAAATGACTACAACTTTGGCATTTTCACAGATTGACCTTATTTTTGTAGTAGTAGCTGAGATGGATCCTGAACATATGTGAGGGCTAACGGATGGCACAAGATTTTAGATTAAAATTTTGCCTTTAGCTATTTGGAACTCGCTGAGTCTGTCTGTTAGCAAAATACCTCATGAGCTACCGCATGGATTTTTATAAAATATTTACCAAGTAATCATATAATGCAACTCTACCACTAATTAACCCATTTCAAGATGGCTGCCACAGCCAACTGAATTTACAAAAACACAGCAATGTTGTAATTCAGTCAAGTTTCATAGTTCACTGGATAGAATTTGGTGTGGATGTAGCTGAGACTCATTCACAACACATACTCCAAGTGCTACTCAATTCACAAAATCATCTCTTAAAACTTTAGCATTTACTGTTGGGAGTCAGCTCTGTTCGTCTGTTAGCAAAATATCCCATGAACAGCCAAACACATTTAAATGACACTTTCAGAAAGTAATCATTGAAAGTACATCTACAGCCCATTACCTTTATGGCGTGGACCCATTTCCAGATGGCTGCCACAGCCAATCAACATTAGCTAACTCACACAAAAAGCTATAACTTTAATTTGACAAATATAGAGCTAAAAGTGTGTGGGGCCATATCTGGGAGTCTTCCTGAAAACTGAACTTCACATTTCATGAGGCAGCTGTGGCTGAGTGGTTAGAGCGGTGGTCCTCCAGTGGGAGAGTTGGGGGTTCGATTCCACCAGCAGTCGCATGCTGAAGTGTCCCTGGGCAAGACACTGAACCCCTCATTGCCTGTGATGTGTGTCCCATCAGTGTATGAATGTGATAATCATTGATTATTCTTTGTAGAGATCTAGTATAGAGCTGTATGAACGGGTAAATGAGGCACACATTGTGTTGTAAAGAGCTTTGAGTGTCTTGATGAGATATAAAGGTGCTGTATAAGTACAGTCCATTTACCTTTTCATATCTCCCAAAATTAATATCACAAGATTGTGTCATACAAACTCATTTAAGAGTTTTGACCAAAATGACTAAAGTTCCATCGTTTCTTAGCATGATATGATCTTCAATCCTATTCGCATGGGATTAGTTTTACCTAAGGACCAGTGTAATCTCCCCAACGTCTGCTTTTTATGTGGCGCCTTCGCACGGGATTAACAAAGCCTGAGATTTAGCTGAAATTTACAGACATCTTCCGGTTATGATGTTAACACGCTGCGTTGTCACGACTGGGCCGGTCCATATAATGTGCTTAATGTGCGGTCGAGGACAGTCTCAGGCTTTGATGTGGTTTTATGAATCAGCACAAAGAAAACTAAAGAATGCACAATATAAAATTGTGTTAGTCTACTTGTTGAGGAGGAGACGGGTCCGGCCGGCCGGTGTAAGAGGTTAAAAACAGCCACGTTAAGCTCAGATGGACAGCTGTCACCGCCTGTGCGTGTGAGCGGCTGCGCGTCCACTGACCCACCGGTTGAAATGGACTGGAGACCTGTCCAGGGACTTGGCTTGAACCCGCCTCTCGCACAGTGATGGCTGGACATGGACACCAGTGATCCTGCTACCCGAAAAGGAAGAAGCGGGTAAATATATGAATGGATTGGTCAGTTGCACGCACACGTCTCTGCACCTCCTGTCATCTGCGGTGAAGGAAGTAGCAGCTCATAAAAGCCGAAGCGAAAAAGAAAACCACATTTAAAGATTAAATAAAATAGCCGAAGCGAACAGCGCGTTCATTTAAAATAGCCTTGTTCTATATTTTTCCCAAATGATTTTGCTTAAACAAAAACAAAAAATGCCTCATTACGTATCGGATCCTGCGCATTTCTGTCCAAATCACAGAGATGCCTATTTGCATTGGATTAGTATTATCACAGGACCTCGGAGTTCAGCAAAATATAGTAGGTAATGTGCGGGGGAATTTTCACTTTACAAATTACTGACATGGCTGATTCACACGGGGTTAACAACACAGACAATCTCCGTAATTATTACAAATAGCATGTGGTCCCTAGGTAAAACTAATCCCGTGTGAATAGGGCTTTAGACTAACACTCTGGCATGAAAAGTGGCGGGTGATATGCATTACTTCAAGTAATGCAAAGCCTTGAATCTAACGCCTCCTATACATTATAAAGCCCAGTCCGGCCTGGACTGGCCACAGTCGGTCCAGCCCCGGTCTTCCCGGCTCTGGTTTTGTTTGCTTTTAGCAGAGTGCCGCCTCATTGTGGGCGGAATTGTCATGGCAAGACCGCGCAAAGCGAAGCTCAGCATTAAATGCACCTTGTCCTTTGTTCAGGGCACTCGTGCTATTTTTTTTTTTTCCCATTTCTTCTAAAGAAAGCTGAGCTCTCTCTACCACATAAGCCTCCAGATGCAAGTAGCTGAAGGAAATGTTGGTAAGGAGCAGTCTCTGGCGGTATGACTCATCTGTGACGTGCCCCCCACCCCCATTCCAACAAACCAATCAACGGCCAGCAGTCTGACTTCAAATCTGCCAGCCCAGCCTGAATGGAACCCCAGGTCTCTGGGTTCCAAAAATCGACCTGGAACTGGACCAGACTGCCCAGTAGCAACACTCAAAACCCGAGACAGAACCCAGGTTGGGCCAGTCCATTCCAGGCTGGGCCTTATGATGCATAAGAGCTGTTATTTTTGTCCTGTTTCTTATGTTTTTGTGTCTCTATCCCCCTGTCAGAGTACCAGCTGGCTAAACCATCTGACTCCCACAGGAAGGAGATGCTGTTTGGCAGTCTGGCCAAACCTGGACACCCCATGGGCAAGTTCTGCTGGGGTGAGTTAGGAAAAACAACTACTGGGACATTTAATCCACACTGGGGCGTCCTTGTAGGATGCTGAGCAAAAACAAATACAAGTTAATACAGTGCTAAGTTTCCTGTTTATATTCTTGGATTATTTACCGTATTTTCACCAATTTTTCAGAGTTTCATTTGTCGTGCTGAATTGATTGTCCACTCGATACAACTCTAGGGAACGCAGAGACGTTGAAGCAGGAGCCAAAGAGGAAGAAGATCAATGTTTATAAGCGCCTGCGTGCCTTCTGGAAGAAGTACTACTCTGCCCACTACATGACTCTGGCTGTGCAATCAAAAGGTCAGGAACATCTTTCTTATTCGTCATTCACCAGAATCAGTCAACACAGAGAAATTACCACATTTTCTTCCAATAATTACATTTAAAACAATTAACAGATCCACCAGAAAGGTAACCTGAGCTCTTTGAAAATTTAAAAAACTGCCATTTGTGCAAATAAGGATGCACTTCATGTTCTGCTGCTGGAGATAATTGCTGTCAGATAGAAAATATTCAACTGATTTTCAGGGTTCTGCAGGAAATGTCACACAGGTAATTAACTGCTTCATGGCAGTAAAAATATTGACAAGTGTTGACTTTTAGTGCTGAGAACGATCATCCTCATTAAAGTGGTGAGGTCATGCAACTCTGGGTAAGCGTCTTCTTACTGGAACCTCTTGCACATAAAAACCAAAACACTAGCTAAACGCTAAAAGACAAACACAGAAAACCCCAAAGTACCTAGACACTGGCTAAAAGCTTAACATAGAAATTTTTTTGCAAGAAGCTAAATATGGCAACAAGTTAAAAATCAAAAAGACATTAAAAACTGAAATTATCATAAGACTAGTTAAAATAGCAAAAGACTAGATAAAATTAGCATAAGATTTGCTAAAATTAGCATAAGACTAGCTAAAATCAGCACAAGACGAGCTAAAATCTGCATAAGACTAGCTAAAAGTAGCATAAGACTAGCTAAAATTAGCATCAAATTAGAACAAGACTAGCTCAAATAGCATAAGACTAGATCAAATTAGCATAAGATTTGCTAAATTAGCATAAGACTAGCTAGAATCAGCATAATACTAGCTAAAAGTAGCATAAGACTAGCTAAAATCAGCATAAAACTAGCTAAAATTAGCACAAGACTATCTCACATTGGCATAAGACTAGCTAAAAACAGTATAAAACTAACTAAAATTAGCATAAGACTAGATAAAATTAGCATAAGATTAGCTAAAATTAGCATAAGACTAACTAAAATAGCATAAGACAAGCTAAAAATAGCATCAGACTAGCTAAAACTAGCATTAGACTAGCAAAATGTAGCAAAAGACTATTTCAGACTCTTGTCAGACGTAGCTTGTCACTGACTCTAAAATTTATAAAAGGCTAATTAACAGTAGCTATATGCTAGCTAAAATATGCTAAAACTAGCTAGAAGCTAATAATAACCATAGTGTAGCTAAAAGCTGAAATTAGCTAAAATAATGAGTAAAAGCTAAAAGTAGCAAAATAGGTAGCTTAAAGCTAAAAGGTGCATAATGATAGCTTAAAATAAGTAGCAGAACAGTAACTAAAAGCTTAAATTAGCAAAGGCTAAGTGCAAGCCATAAGTAGCAGAGGACAGTAATTACATGTGGCCTAAGAATACAAAAGTAGTGCCAGTATGCCGAAGCAGAAGAGAACTATGCTTGTTTGAAATAACCGAACAGTCTAAATGTAAATCTAAGTGGAAATAATTTGTAAAAATAAATATATTTTTTAAACAATAGAAGTTACACAAACCAAAAGTCACAACACCCAACTCCTGAACGAGCTGAACATTTTGATCTATGTATGACTAAAGTACAATACGGTCAATCAGATCATCTGGACAGTTTCTTTTTTGTGGAAAGACATTTCACCCTCTATCCGGAGAGTTTCATCAGTCTGAGGCGTCCCAAGTGAAATGCTTTCCCCACTAAGCAGTTCACTCTTTTCATTGTCAAAGGAGTGTACTGCTTTCTCTTCACAAAGATGGCCTCCTTTACTCCTCTCTCAAACCATCGTTCCTCTCTGTCCAGGATGTGAACATCTTCATCCCTGAAAGAGTGACCGCTGGCCTGGAGATGAGTGTAGACCGCAGAGTCCTGGCCTGATGTTGTTGATCTTCTGTGCTGGGCCATCCTTTTGGCTAGAGGCTGTTTAGTTTCCCCAATCACAGCCCCCCTGGCACTGAACAGCATACACAACATTACTCTGTTTGTGACCTGACTGTACTTTTTAGATGTTTCTACCTGGATTGGTGATCATGCATCGGGATATTAATGAACTAAATTAGCCTCAAAAATTGAAAAAAAATTGCATTTTAGGCGGAAAATTATTAAGATCCACTTGCGCTCTGCTTCAATCCTCGTTCTGTCTGTGTGTCCCTCAGAGAAGCTGGACACTCTGGAGGAGTGGGTGAGAGAGATCTTCAGCAAGGTGCCGAACAAGTGAGTGTCACAGAAGAGGCTCTCCGTCACTTTGAGGAGGCGCTATCATTACGCAGATTGAGTCTCAACATCATCTCCTCAAATATAAATGTCAAGCCTCCCTTCATCTCTTCTGCTCAGCTCTCTTTAACTGAAGACGTTCTTTTCTTTCATCAGAATAATCCTGAATGGAACAGTTCTTACAATCTGAATGGCTGTTTTCTAAAGTCGCTCCAGTTCTCTGTTTTATGAGTCACCGGGGGTTCTTTTCAGGGACTGAACATGTATGTCATGGTTACATGGAAGCCGCCATGTTTTTAAGGCTTTCGCTTCAATGAAACGACGACATGTTTTTGTATCGAGCTAATGATCCCTCCCCGTTTCTGGTTCTAAATTCCTTTCACGTGAATTCCACTCCTCTAGCAGAGCTAAACTCATTTCCATCGAGCTTGAATACATGAAAACATTTTGAAGTAATCTCTGTCAAAAGAACTAATGTTCCCTGACACTGTTTCTATTAACTCTTTTCAGGCTTATTCACTGGGTTTCCACTCCAACTACTTTGATTTGAGGCATTTTCCAAGAAGAATATAGCACCTTTTAGTTATTCACAGGAATTATAAAGCCTATCTGGTGAATACTGACCTGGTTAAACCAATATTAACTCCTATATATATATATTATTTGTCTACAGTGGTTTGCCTAAGCAGGATTTCTCTGATTTGCTGGATCCTTTTGACACACCAGCCTTCTGCAAGCTCTACAGAGGTACTGATCCACTTCACCACATACGCCTGAACACATCTGGTGTGCTTCCGAGACAGCCTATAAATAATTCTGACGAGTTGCCACATAGTTAAAACAGACTGATGTTTGACTTAATAAAATTGCGTGAACATATGCAAACCGATGAGACGTTACGTGCTCAGTCTTCCGCTCTTGGCTCTGAGTCTGTTTCTGCTTTGCAGTCGTTCCTGTTGGGAAAGTGCACGCTTTGAATATCACCTGGGCTCTTCCTCCTCAGGAGAAACACTACAGGTGATCCACACACACCGTCTGAGGCACATGACTGAAGACTGCTTGTGACTGAGAACGCTTTCACCTCTTTTTAAAGAAATGGCGTCAAAAGTCTTTCTTTCTTCATGTCTCGCTGTCTTTCCTGCATAATGAGGCCTCTTTATGTAAACATAGAATTAGACCAATCCAAACATGCCGTGCATTGCAGCGATTGTAGACAAATTGCATCATTTCCCAGCCCCTAATTTTCACGTTTTGCACCCTTCTTTTCAGAGTGAAGCCTCTCCACTACATTTCATGGCTGGTTGGCCATGAGGGCAAAGGGAGCATCCTCTCAGTGCTGAGAAAGAAGTGAGTGTTATTGCTTCTATTATTTTTATTTAACTATTTGTTTATTTCAATTTGAGGGCACTCCAGATTGCAATTAAAACCTCCTCAATTTTGCTGGGTATATGTGAGCCTTTTCTTGCTCTAAGTGAGCTCTGAATGTTAGAGCCCTTATCCTCAAACTCTACACTTTAGCTGTTGCACTTGACAATGTGATTCATACATTTTCATCTTTTTGGATGTAGCTGCACAAGAGCATTTCAGCCTCTCGTTGCTAAGTGGCAGAGTGATCTGCCAAACCTTATGTAGTCCAACAATACCAAGAGCCCATTTAATACTCCCTTTACCATCTGCACCACTTTGATACTACGTTAATAAAACGGTCCTGTTTATTCTGTGTGCTCAGTTCACTTGTTGATAAAAGGTGTCTGGAAAACTTGAGTATACTCTGTCTCGACTTATGTTTGTAGTAAAAAATGAATCTCACAGAGACAGAAGAGTGGCTGTTTATATTGAATTTAGATAGCATCAAGTGCTGAGGATGATTTTAGGCTAATATTAGACAGATGTCCTCTGTACAACTGGAAAGCAGGTTCTATATTTAGACTAAAACAATGTGGCGACCAATGTATACTGGTAATTGCTTTTTTTTTCAGAAACAG